CCCATGCCCCCAGCCCGCCTCACTCTGCCTGCTGATGGGCAACGTGATGTGGGCTGGCCCGGGTGCTCAGCGCCTGGCCCCACCTGTGAGCTGCCTGTGGAAGGGGAGGTTGGAATCCCTCTCTCCGCCCTGCCCGGGAGGCCCTGGCCTTGGGGGATCCCCAGACTGAGAGCCCACGTCCCTGAAAGGAGGACTGCGAGTGGCAGAGAGCAGCATCTCCCTTGCTGCTGTCCTGTATCCTGGGGTGGGCCAGAGTGCGCCCTGCAGCCTTGTTTTGCTCCAGGGTGCAGGCAGCGTTTCCCTGCTGCTCAGCGTGGGGGTTGCTGTTTCTCCCTCCCCTCACAGGAATGCTGGAACCCATGGAAGAGCCCAAGAGGTTAAGGCTGGGGGGGGGGGGGGGGGGGGGGGGGGGGGGGGGGGAACAGGTTTGTGGCCAGAGGGCTGGAGTGGCTCAGTGGGATGCCGAGAGCCACTGAACCAACCTGCAAACCCTGCATATGATGGAGCCACGCCAAGGCAGGGGTGCGGCAGACCCCCCTCGTTCCCGCATGATGCTCATGGCAGGAGGGGAGGAAGAGAAGGGATCCACGGGCCTGGGTGATGGAACTGTTCCGTTTAGGCCACGTAGGACCTGGAGCCCGAGCTGCCTCTTGGCGGTGATTTATCCCTGAAGGAATGTGGGATGTGCAAGGAGAGAGGCAACCGCTGCCTGGCTGGGGAGTCCTCGCCCCTTTGCACGGCCCTGGTAGGCAGGGAGGAACGTGGCACTAGTCTGAGAAAATCCAGCATGTTCTCTGCTCAAGGCAGCTCCTGGTCAGTGGGCCCTGGGGATGCTGTCAGCCCACAAGCACTGCTTGCAGGCAGAGTCCATCTCCTGCCTATTCATGGGGTAGTCCTGTACCCCCCACACACACAGAACAGGGCCTGGAATGCCTTGTACGTCATGGCGTCTGGCACTGAACCTGTCTTCTTGCTGGAGAATGTGGCCCTGAGGTCTGAGTTTCCTTGCCCCGACTCCCAGATCCTGGCTGTCTTTGAGCGCTCTGTGGGAGGACTGTGGGCTGCTGGGGTAACAGGCTGGAAGGGCTAAGCCTAGATCTGGCCCCTGAGGCGAATGCGCCCTCCCCCCAGCATGGTGAGCCCATACTGGTGCTCCAGACTCCCTGATACCCCCACCGTAGGGCTGGAGCACACAAAATCTACTAGGCTGCCCCCCTCCCCAGGCTCTGATGGGTGAGGGAAATGTGGGGAGTGTCTTTCTGCTTCTCAAGCTTCAGAGGGGTAGCTGAGTTAGTCTGTAACTGGAAACACTTAAAAACCAGTGAATAGTCTTGCAGCTCATAAAGATGGTATCCTGAGCTTTCATGGGCACAACCCACTTCTTCAGATGAAAGGAGTTATTAAAGGTTCAGTTTCTAAATAAATAGGGGATCCTGGGGGAGAGAAGCAAAAAAAGAAAAAAAGGGGAAAGAAATAGTCAATTGGAGCGTCCATGCTACATGAAACTGGTAGAGAAAGTACTAGTTGTTCTTAAGTGCTCTTTGTTTGGTTTTGTATGGCAGTAAGATGTAGAATGCAGTGGGCCATCCAGCCTGTGTCTTTATTCATACTTCTGTTATAGGAATCAAACTTGTAAATGAAGTTAAGTTCTAAGGCTTCCCTGTGGAGCTGGCTTGTGGAATTGGCCTGAAACAGTACGGTCGCTTTGAGATCCATTAATGAGTGCCAGGGCAAGTTAAAATGTTCCCCACCAGGTTTCTCTGTGTTACCTTTTCGGATATCTGATTTGTATCCATTAATTCTTTCCTGCAGAGGCTGGCCAGCTTGGCCAATATACGTGGCAGAGGAGCATTGCTGGCATTTGATGGCATAGATCATATTAGTGCAGTGGTCCCCAAACTTTCGTGGCTGCGAGGCGCCCTGGGGCGAGGCCGCTCATGTGCCGTGCTTCCAGGGGTGGGGCCACCCATGCGCCACACGCCCGGGGGTGGGGGCCGCCCACGTGCCACAAGCCCAGGACCAGCACCGCTCATGTGCCGCGTGCCGAGGTTGGGGCCAGCCCAGATGTTTCGGCGGGCGCACATAAATACCCCAGTGGGCACCATGGCACCTGCGGGCACCGTGTTGGGGACCACTGTATTAGTGGATGTGCAGTTAAATGAGCCTCTGATATGGTGGTTTATGTGGTTAGGTCCTGTGATGATGTCACTTGTATAGACGTGTGGACAGAGTTGGCACCGGGGTTGGTTGCAGGGGTGGATTCCTGGGTGAGTATGATGGAGGTGTGCTGTGTGGTTACTGGAAAGAATTTGTTTGAGATTAAGAGGTTGTCTGTGGGCAAGGATTGGCCTGTCCCCCAAGGCCTGTGAGAGTGAGGGGTCATTTTCCAGGATAGGTTGTAGATGGTTGATAATGCGTTGGAGGGGTTTAAGTTGTGGGCTGTAGGTGATGACAAGTGGTGTCCTGTTGTTTTCTTTTCTGGGCCTGTCTTCAAGTAGCTGATATCGGGGTACTCTTCTAGCTCTGTCAATCTGCTTTTTCACTTCTCCAGACGGGTATTGCAGTTTTAAGAATGCTCTATATAGATCCTGTAGGTGTTTGTCTGTGGGATTGGAGCAAATCCGGTTGTATCTTAGGGCTTGGCTATGAACAATAGATTGAGAAATCTGTCTTGGATGGAAGCTAGAGGCATAAAGATAAGTGTAGCTGTCAGTAGGTTTCCAGTATAAGGTGGTGGAAATGTGTCCGTCATGTAATTACTCTGTAGTGTCAAGGAAGTGGATCTCGCGTGGACTGATCCAGGCTGAGGTTGATGATGGGGTGGAAGTTGTTGAAATCCCTGTGAAATTCTTCAAGGGTCTCTTTCCCATGGGTCCATAATGATGAAGATGTCATCAGTGTAGCGTGAGTAAGGGTGCTAGGGGGCAAGAGCTGAGGAAACGTTGTTCAAGGTCAGCCAGAAAGAGGTTGGCATATTGTGGGGTCTTGCGGCTGCCCATGTACCTTCTCTAGCAGCTTCATGTAGCATGGACACTCTAATTGACTACTTCTTTTCCCGTTTTTTCAGCTTTCTTCTTTTTCCTTCTCCCCCCCCCATCCCCTATTTATTTAGAAACTGGACCTTTAATAACTCCATTCAGCTGAAGAAGTGGGTTGTGCCCACGAAAGCTCACGATACCATCTACATGTTTTGCTAGTTTCTAAGGTGCTACAAGACTATTAGTTGTTTTTTTAAAAATTGTGCTTCTCAGTCAGGGGCCACATCAGTGAGGGTTTTGGTTTGGTTTGGTTTTTTGCGTCTCACTTGTGTGTGGCCCCCGACTGATTTTTCTGTGGGTGGGCGGCCCCCGACCCAAAAAAGTTTCCCCACCCCTGGCCACTAATTCAATAAAGGGAGCCCCTGCGGAAGGGCTAGGCCACTTCCCTCTGGTCCTTATGTGTTAGAGCAAAGGGAGCCAACCCTGAGCTTCTGATGGTTGCTTTGCAGGGACGTGCATCAATGTTTATGCAGCCGACATTGTGTTCCTGGTGGATGGATCCTCCAGCATTGGGAGGGCCAACTTCCGGATGATCCGATCCTTCATGGAGGACCTGGTCAGGCCCTTTGTCCATGTGGTCGGTGAGAGAGGTGTGCGGTTCGGAGCAGTGCAGTACAGCGATGACCCCAGGTGAGTCCTGATGGTCCTGTCCCCCTCTGCAGGCACACAGGATGGGGGAGGCTCCTACAGCTGGGTCCCTACTGGGGGCACCTCTCTGTGCTCCTGGGGGTGGCTCTTGGGGTCCAGTCACCAAGGGAGCTCAGAATGGTTTGTGGGAGTGGCCCTGAAGCTATCTGCTTAGGGAGGGAGTGCTGCCAGAGCCTGACGCTGACAGAGGAGGCCAATGGCTGCTGTGCTCAGTGCCCCGTGATAGCCAGTGAATCCCCAAGCTGGGCTGGAGGAGTGGGAGAGTAAAATGTCTAATTACTCCCCTTGCTCCTGAAGCCCCTAATGCACGGTCTATGGAGCCCCACTGCAGATAAGCCACTGGCCACCTCTGTGTGCTGCTGCCTCGCGTCTATGGAACTGCACCCTAGGGACCAAGGGGAGTGAGCCCTTCCCTAGAGATGCCCCATGGGTCGGTAGCTTCCCCTAAGGAGGCACAGGGCTGTGCAGTTACTGTGCAGAGCCTGCTGGAGCTGGCCATGCTGTGGTTTGCCCCCATGCCCTGGAATCACATTTGTCCCCAGGCTCGAGTTCACCCTCTCCCAGCATCCAAACGGGACCGAGGTGAGGAGAGCCATCCAGCAGCTCAGCTACAAGACCGGGAACACACGCACCGGTGCCGGCCTGCGCTACATCGCTGACAACTTCTTTGGGCCCACTCAGATCCGGCCCGGGGTCCCACAGGTACCTCTAGAGAGACCCTGCTTAGGCCATGGCTGGGGAATGTGGGAGCAAAACGCTGGCCTGTGGCTCCACTCCAGAGCATGCTGTTGGCCCCGGCTAGGCCGCTTGCCTGGCTCCCTCTGTGCTGGAGGGGGAGCAGAGCCGGGTGCTGCTGGAACGTGGCAGTCTAGTCGTGCTATGTCCCCCCTCCTTTGAGGCCCTATGCAACCGCTCTACATTTCCAGCTCGTGCTCCATGACGGGAGACAGTGGGTAGGCAACAGGCTGTCTGATTGCTGTGCCCCTTCTTCCCAGCATGGGCTCCTTCCACTCAGCGCTACTCACCTCAGCTGGAATTTGGCTGAACCAGCTGGGGGCACTGGCCTTGGGGCCCCTCCCACAGGAGCTGGGCCCTGCAGCTAGTGTTAAGGCTGGCGTGAAGTTGGCCAGCCCCCTCCTCCTGACCCATCCTGGCCCCTTCCTGGCAGGTCTGCATCCTCATCACAGACGGCAAGTCTCAAGATGACACTGAGCAGCCGTCCGTGAAGCTGAAGGCTCAGGGCACCAAGGTCTTTGCTGTGGGTAAGAGACTCCAGTGCCAACTGGGAGCCAGGGGCGGGGGGGCTCTGCCTTCACCAAGCAGCTCAGGACTCCCATCACTGGCCTCAGTGTCCCTTTGGTCCAGGGGCTGTAGGAGGATGGCAAAGCCGGGCATCCGCCCTGTGATCTTGGCCCGTGTAGCCGCTGGCTGAGAGTGGGAGCACCTGGCTGCCCTTGAATGAGGCTGCTCCTCGAGGATGAGGGAGGGAAGTGGACGATGCAGGGCTGGGAGGCTAGGGAGCTCTGACTTGCAGTGGCCAGTGAAGGGGATGGGAAGTGGAGAGCAGGCTCCAGGCCCTGGCAACCCAGCACACCCGTAGCATGCTGCTGCTAGCCATGAATGGCTGGCTCTGCAGCTGCAGGCTAGGGGGAGTAAGGATGGGGCGTGCCGCTGTGCCAGCCGGAGGGCGGAGAGGGACATAACTCAAGGCAGAGCTGGGGATTGTTCCTAGGAGAGACCCTGGTGTCCCCTCACCAGCCCTCCTCCCCCTGCAGGGATTAAGAACGCAGACCGTGCCGAGCTCATGAGTGTGGCTTCCACGCCCTCGGATGACTACTTCTTCTATGTCAACGACTTCAAGATCCTGAGCACCCTGCTGCCACTGGTGTCTCGGAGGGTGTGCGCCAGCACCGGAGGGGTCCTGCAGACAGGTAAGGGGCGTGTTATAGCTAGTCCTCGCGGCCTCCCCAGGGACAGATCAGCCCCGGACGTGCCTTGGAGCTCTGTGCTGGGTCACTTCTCTGCTCTGTGCAGTGCTCCTCCTCCCCTTCTAACCACGGGAGAGTTCCAGCCCAAGGGAGTTCAGCCTGGGCCCGGTCAGCACTTGGCTGTGCCTGGCAAGATATTCCCCTTTCCTGGGCACTGGCTATTGCAGCTGTTTCCGGTGCTGCAGTGCAAGGGTTAAATTCCACCCTGCCATGTGTTCCTGGAGATCACCCAGGCAAGGTGTGTGTGTGTGGGGGGAGGGACGGGCCGAGGGGAGGGGGGGGGCTAACTTGCCTCAGAGCTGCTCAGAGTGCACCACACCCCCCTGCCCAGCCAGTCTGGAGAGCGCTGCCTGGGGCTCCAGTGGCAGCATCCAGGAGCCTTCTGAATGGTTGGGCCCTGGGACATTCCTCTCCCCGACCCATTGGCGGGCCTGCTGGTGATGACCCCCTCCTGGAGGTGCAGCTCGGTGTCCAGGGCTCTGTGCCAGTCACTCTGTGCCTTTGTGCCGTGCTTGGGTCACTTTGGCCCCTTGGTGCTGCTCTGCCTGGTTGATTTCCCCCACCCCCACCTCAGGAAATCTGAGTGAGCATGTTTTCATGATTCGCGCCCGATAACGCTCTTCACTGTGCCAGAGGCCGTCCATCCCCGAGTGGCTGCCTGTGCTGGGCAGCAAGGAACTGGAGTTCATGCCACAGCTCCATGCGTGTCCGCCCTGGGGAGGGCAGGGCGCCAGCAGGGAGCCTGACTGCTGCATTCCTCCCCCTCAGGTTCGCAGGTGTATAGCGGCCCATCCAACCTGGTCTTCGTGGAACAGGCGGCGGATGCACTGAGGATCCGCTGGACAGCAGCGGGTGGCCCCGTCACAGGCTACAAAGTCCAGTATGTGCCGCTCACAAGCTTGGGGCAGCAAGTGACAGCAGAGATGAAAGAGGTGAGAGCTTCCCTTTCCAGCTTCGTCTGGAGAACCATCCACCGGACAGGCTCAGCAGAGAGCCCATGCGGCTGAGGTTACGTCTACACTACAAGGTTTTTGCGCCAAAACGGTAATTTTTGCGCAAAAACCTGCGGAGCATCCACACCTCAAGTGCATTTTTCCACAAGAAAATCTGCAGTCAATCGATAGAAGAGAGAGCTTTTTGCGATGTAGGTAAACCTTCTACGAGGCATAACTCCTTTTTGCACTACAGCTCTTGTGCAAAAAGGCACGTGAGGACGCTCCGCAGGGATTTCAGAAAGAGACTATCCAAAAAAGCACAGGTGCTTTGATGGCTATTCTGTGAATGGCATCAGAGCTTTCTTGCGCAAGAGCGTCCATGCAGTGTGGACACTTTCTTGTGCAAAAACGATGCACTTTGAGGTGTGGACGCAGAAGTTTTTGCGCAAGAACTCTTCCACAAACGACTTCTTGTGCAAAAACCCGGCAGTGCAGACATAGCCTGAGTTCCCCTTCTTGCTGGGAAGGAGGCCATCTCTGCCTGAGGTAAACAGGAATGGGCTGTGTGTTTGCAGCCAGCAGCCTGCCCTGTGGGTGAATGGAGCCTGTCAGGTTTTCCTGGCAGCTACTCTGACCCCTGCTCCACCACCAGCCCCTTTAGGAAAGTGAATGGTGCCAAATCCCCCATGCCCCACGAGGCCCAGCTCAGTGGCTGTGCCGTCTGGGCAGCTGGAGGGGGCTGGCGAGAAGCAGGAGAAATGTTGAAAGAGTAATGCCTTTGGGTGCCGTTGGACAGGTCAGCCTGAGCCCTGGGGAGACGAGCACCGTGCTGCGCCAGCTGCGGGGAGGGACAGATTACCTGGTCACCGTCATCGCCCAGTACGCCAACAGCATCGGCGAGTCGGTCTCTGGCACAGGACGCACCGGTGAGTAACCTGCTTAGCTCCCCATGCAGTGAATTTCCCCGCATTTGCCCCATCTGCCTGCCCAGATACAGGCTCCAGCGTGGCACCGGGGAGCCAGGGAGAGCCTCTGAGCCAGGGGCATTCC